GTGGTTGCCTCATCGTCTCGCCATGGAAAATGTATTTGTATTAATAATGTATGTGAATGCGTCATAATGTAATTTCAGAAGAGAAAACCTAACAATCAATTGATATTCAAAAGAGACGTACCTTGACATAACCTTAAATCCGTCGCATTGTCCGTGGGATTGTTTTCACTCATTTTTTACAATTGTTGTACACTAAATTTGAAAATAAAAAATACTACCCTATTAAATTATATGTGTATCAAAACAAACTAAAAAAATATTTATAGAAAAACAATACTTTTATTATTTGTATGGTAGTGAGTGTCATATATTGTAAATCACCAATAGTTTGCTATAGTTATCAATCCATCAATCAATATAGTTTATTAACTTCTACTTCAATTTATAGATAATATATTGCAACATGTAAACATTTACTTCAACTTTTATCTTTGAATAAGCACTGTAACTTCGATCTTCAGATGATGTAAACAAGATGTATTTTCAATAAACTTAGCTATAATGTTATCTTCTTTAATCATTCTAATTTATGATATCCAACATCATAACAGTGAGAACCAAAACAATATGGAAATGAATGAGGGAAAACTGGATCCTCTCACGTGATTTCCCGGCCAATAAAAATGTAACGGTAAACGTTTAACGCAGCCTTGTTGGAAGTCGCATAAAAAGTATAACTTCAATAATTATTTCCGAATTTCAAAGACAAACAGAAAATTCAAACTACGTAGCTCAACCCTTCCTATTTTCTCCGCTTTTACGCACAGAAAATAAGATTTTTCGCATTTTTTCCCCCGCCCCCCAGATAGAGCTCGTACTTTCGTAATTTGGACGTCACTGCTTTATATCAAGTATCGAGTTTCGTATTCACGCAATTTAAAATCCACTTTTATGATTCGTAATAGTGACTTAAGAATTATACGTCGGAATTCTTACTCACGCGATTTTAAAATGAAACATCGAGATTTGTATTCATTCGATTTTAAAATCAAATATCGAGATTCGTGTTCTTGTGATTTTAAAATCAAATATCGAGATTCGTATTAACGCGACTTAAAAATCTAACATCGAGATTCGTATTTTCACGATTTTGAAATTTAATGTCATGATTTGTATTCGCGTGTTTTAAAAATTACACATTGAGATTCTTATTTACACAATTTAAATAAATTAATTAAATCTCGCATCGATATTTTTATTAAAACGTTGGTAGCATACTGTGGATGAATTTTTCCTAACAACCACTTTTCTGTTACTCAAATTTCAGTATTTTTCAATCATTTAAAAAGTGTTTTTGCGCATAACATTTTGGAGTTTCTATCTTCAGCTTTTTTGATTTTTTACTAAAATCATCCCTGTGTTATAAATCAATATAGAGTTCTCTTAAAATTAAATATTTTTGAAAAAACTCTGCTATTTTTTAAACAAATTTTACCAAAATGAGGTGGCGACAAAATAAGAAACTAAGGAGAATGAATCTAAGAAACTATGAAGAATTAATCAATGCTGGCAGAAAGTTTTTTAACTGAGATTTTGTGTTCGCAGAAAGATTATTTTATTTTTTATTTTATCTAAGTATGGTGTTACGTATGCCTGTTGAATGGTTATTTTGTTTGCATTATTTCAATCGATTTTCACGACCAATTTTTTAATCAATCTTGTAACTCTTGATCTTAAAATTCTGTTAATATTCCAACACCCGTGTATTAATCACCTGTATATTAATCACCTTTCTACTTTTTCCTGTTTCCTCAGGCAATTAAAAGGTGTTTTATTTTCTCGATCACGCTTTCGTCTATCGTGATTTGTTGGATTTCGATATCGTTACTGTAACAGTTAAATTAAAATATTTTATTCGGTGCGTATTAGATAAGTTATTTATGTATTATTATTGAAATAGATGGGTTGCATAGTTGGATGTATCACTGGATATCGTCATGATAATAAATAGGTAAAGATTGAAAAGTTATGATAAAACAAATTAAGGCCGAAATGTATAAAAGGTAATTAAATTAAATTAAGGGATGATTGTTAAGGAAAGTGGTAGTACAATGCTAATGTGGGATAACAATAACCCAATAGGTTCAAAGGGTCACAAAGTGTGAGGTTTTAACAAATTGGATGATTTGGTATCACCAAATTTGGAAAAGGGGCGAAACTAAAATAAATTTAAGATTAAAGATAAAAACGATAAATAACATGCTATATCCAGATACAGACTTAACATTTAAGACAGTAAGATGATGTTTCCAATGTAAAATTTACAAATTCCCTTAACAATAAAAAAAGGTACTCGCCACATACATGAGGAAAAAGGGGTAACAACAATGAGAGCATATTGATTGAAGAAAATCACACCAATTTTTCCATTCAGCTGAACATTTATTTTCGTAAAGCATTTTGTAAGACATTATTATTGTAAAACACCTTATTTCGTTATTTCGTAAAAACAAACAATATGTTCCATTAAATTTTTGTGACACAAGAAATCTTTTTTGAAAAGAAAGAAATGGGTGATAAGAGAATTAAAAAAAAAAGGCGTCATTCATAAAAAAAGGAGAGCTGAAAAAAACTTAACTATTGAAAAGACATTTATAGAAGGAAAGCTTAATTTGAGTGGGTCTTTAATGCTTAAAAAAAAAGATATAATGTGTAGATGTATGATTTATTGAAATTGACTACAATTAAAGATTTAAACTTTTAAAGAAAAATAAGGTTAAGAAAAAGAATATAAAAAACTGTCCCCTCGATACGGACCGAAGTCCGCATCTCAAGGGAAAAAAAAGGAACCAGCAAGAAGGAAGCACAAAAAGAGAATCCTCCTAAAAGTGACTTAAAAAATTCCTTAACTGGTATAGGACCAGAAAAATTACGGCCCATTAAAATTAAAGAGGCGGAGAGTTTGAAATTTAAAGTAAAGAGTTGGTTAGTTAGCCCCCTAAAATTAAAAGAAGAAAAAAAGAAACGCGTAAAACAAACTTGACTTTCCCCACAGGAAGTGCGATGACCGCATTGACCATGAGAATGGTCACCAAGAAAGTTAAAATAAATTGCTAAATTGAAAAAAAGGAATAACGTTTAAAGAAAAATTAAAGGCTTAAGTAAAATTAGAAATTAAATTGTCACATTACATTAAGTGTAAATGTGACAGTTACAAAATAAGCAATACTAGGATTAAGTTAGTAGAATTTCCATATTTAGTTTTGTTTACGTATATTTATTTTAACAATTTGTATTTTGAGTTTTATTCTTATTGTTATAGACGCTAGTTCCTGATGAAACTCGTACACAGATGATCATCGTCAACATGCTGGGTATCAGGTAAGTTTAAAAACACTCAATGTTAAAATGCGATATTTAGATTATGTTTTAAATCAGTGGTTACCAACTGGCGGCCCGCCGGCCATATCCGGCCCTCGAACTAAAATATATTAGTTGTAATTTTTTTGCGGACAATTTTCGTTAAAAATCTATATGGGTTTAAAATANAAAAAAAAAAAAAAAAAAAAAAAAAAAAAAAAAAAAAAAAAAAAAAAAAAAAAAACTAATTTCTTTGTTTTTGTGAAATTTAACATACCAACGGTGCAAAACAAAATTTTTCGCTGGTAAAAATCTACTTCCTATTTTAATTTGTAATTCAATACTTTTGTTTTGCACTACTTGATAAAAATCTGACAGTAATATTTAATATTCCTTCAAACATAAAAGAGTCCTATACAAATTTTTTAAAAAGTTGCGGCCCACCATTTGACTGGTGTTTTTAATTGCGCCCCTCCCTCATGTAAGTTTAAAACCCCTGTTTTAAATCAATACATGGTAAGGTGTTGCCGCTTATTTTACGCAATTTAGTTCATTATCTTAATATACTATTTAAAATTTTGCAGAAATCATACTATTTAAAATTTGTATGAAACATGCTATTAAAAATTTGTATTTTGCGCACTCATTATCTTAAAATAATATTTAAAGTTCGTATTTTGCGCACTGCACGTCATGAACTTAGCATACTATTTAAAATTCATATAAAGTACTCTATTTAAAATTCATATTTTGTTCTCTGTACTTCTTTATCTTAGCATACTGGGTGGTAAGGCACTGGCCCCATGTCCAAGAGTTCGTGGGTTCGATCCCCGTCGGTCGAAGACTCCCCGTGTAGTAAATGGTGACTGATGCACGTTAAATCTGTTGCGTCGCAAAGTCCTCCAAGTTCCCATAACGAATCAATGCGTCTGGGGGTACTGATCCAGAAGTTCCCTGGGATCTGGGTTAGTTCAAAATTACAAGGCTGCGGAGTTGAACATTAGTAGTCTTACGACTACTGATATAAATCAGGATATAATATAAATCAGGGGTCTGTCATTTTGTGAAAGGTCCAGTTTTCGTGAAATTGTGAAAAAATTACTCACATTCTTTCAACCAGGGTCCGCTTTTATGAATTTGTGCAAATAGGGTCCGGTTTTTTCAAAAAACTTTTTCAATGAGTTTTTAAAATTGTAAATAGACACAAGATTATGCTCGGCACTGTAAAATAATAATTAAAAAAATAAATTTTCAGAAATAAACAGCAATTGCTGCCGCTAAATTAGAGATGCAACATACAAATATTTGGTATTTAGCCTATACTGCTGAACGCAGAATATTCATTTCGGACGAATAATGGAAGAATCGTCTGCCGAAGACAAAACTTAATTCGTTTACATCCATCTTTCTTGTTTTCTGCCCTGGGAAGGGTTTATTCGATTAACAAAACAATAATGAAGATAAACAAATTTGTGAAGGGTCCGATTAAAAGATAAATTATTCTTTGAAGGGTCCGTTTTATGAAAAGATATTTTGTGAAGACGGACCCAAATTTCTTCTTAACAGACCCCTGTAAATATCTTAAGATTGGTATAAAAGTCGAATTTCGATTTAATTCTGTGTTATTTTGAAACAGATATTAAGCAAATCCGAATGGTATTTTTTTAATTTATACTCCCCATTTTCTTAACATATTACACATTTAAAAATTAGTATAAAAGTTGTTATCTGATTTTATTGTGTGTTATTTCAGAACGGCCATTGCTATACCTACTCTAGCTTTGGATGCATTGAACAGGATTTTGTTGCAACAGTACAAAGGTCCCATGGAGGAATCTGTTATTTGTATTAGAGAAGTACTAAAGGCAGCTATTGCAGATGCCTCTAAGTTTGTAAGTGTACTGTTAAAGTGTTAAGTATAGTGTCCAAGAGTAATGTGTTAAGTGTACTGTTACAAGTATTATGGAGAGGATCAAAGCAATTTCGATACAATCAGCTTCGCAATTTAAAGAAATATTTCCTATTAGCCCTGATTTGACTGAAGAAATAAATATATATACCGAAAAAGTACAAATGTGCCTTCAATTTAAAATAACTGTTTATGGTGTCATAAATAGTATACCGGTTTTGATTTAACAGAATACAGAAAAACTAGCTTTAATGTACTATTCAACAAAATAGAATTTATAGTTTGACGCACGTAAATAAGTTTTTATTTGAAAAACGTGTCATAAACACGAATTATTCAGTAATGACCCTCCTATTGTCAGGCTCTTCTTTTTTTCTTTTTTTTTAAATTTTTTTTTTTTTATTTAAAGTTAAAAAGCACTGAACTTTAGGGGTCCTAAATTTATTTTTAATCATGAAAAATATATTATCAAAAACTAGCGATTGAAATAAAGATATTAAAAACAATTTATTTACCTGAAAAAACGCAAATGAGTGCTAAATAATTTCTTCAAACTAGTGGGCTGCTCGCTGATGCTCGCCAACACCCGAAAATTGCTACGCAATCTTATATGGTTCTTACCAAGCTCGCTTCTCTCGCTACTAACTTAGGTACATTGCAAATGCACAAAATTCTAAGAATTCAAAACAATCATTCAAATCCATTTAACAACCTTTTTTTTTTTAAAGAAAAATTAATCTTTTTAGAAAATATCTTTGTAGAAGAAATAATCTTTTTAGTAAATTCTAAGTCATTAAAATAAATTTGAATTCAAATAAATGACATGTAATTCGTTAAACCTATTAGAAATGTGCTATAGTATAAAATCTTAAGATAAAATTTCTAAAACTGATATCTCTTTAAAAAGGTTAAAATTTTGGCTATAATTAAGTCTATTAAAATGACAGCACGTCGTCTACGCATTATTTCACCACTACGTCTTTCATAGATGTCATCAATGCTCTCTTCTAAACTTCGAGCACGCTTCTTTTGATTATACTACTTCAAAAGCGTAACAGCACGACTGAGACTCATTTTTCAATGAATAACTAATAACAAGGGTAGACTATATTTGAGGGAGCCTTTTGATTCTCGCCAAATTGTGATCGCGATTGATCGCCAAGCTGGGCGATGTTGAAACCCAATCGTGATTCTGAGTGGTTTAGATTTTAGCGTTATTTTTAAATGTTCAACGGTATATGTAATTTCAGAGGTCCGTTAGTTCTACTTTGGATACCGGCTGGTAACGTTGCTTTTGAATCTGGTCAATAAGATCGAAGGTATGTGGGCAGTCATGAAAATGGATTTAAGAAAAAAATGTCACCGCTAGTTCGGTATTACAGACGCCATTATCAATTCGTATTTCGTCTAATTTATGTGGCGGTGGAGGTACACAGATTCTATTCATGATAAAATTAGACAGTATCTAACTGTTATTAGATAATTCTGTGCACCTAAATCTGAGAGTAAATATATATTT